CTTGCCAAGACCGTGCCGCCGCCATACCGTAGCCAAATCGCGTGAGGGCTCCCCTACGGCCGCAGGTCGGAGCGTAGACTCGAGTCCGTCCGCCATCTTCTCGGGGTCGCGGAAGTCGTGGCCGATGACGCGCGCGACGCCGAACCAACGGTGGTAGAGGGCGGGTGACTCGCCTGGCTTTACGTGGGCGCGCCTGAAGTATACGTAGGCGCCCATGGGAAAATGGTCCCCTCGTAGGCGTTGACCTCGGCAGCTTTGCCCTCCTCACGCGGTTGTCGCTGTCCATCTTCACGAAGGCGACCTTGGCGCACTCGCGCCACAGCAGGATGGATGCCATGGCGGACTCCGGGTAGAGCGCCGCCTCCTGCACCTGTAGCTTCTCGGCCTCGGCGTCCTGTAGTATTGACCCGGGTACCCGCAGGCCGCGAGTACCTAGCACCCAGTTGGCGGGAGCGTAGCCGTCGTAGATCACTGTCTCGTTGCGCACCTGGTTGATGACACCGCACATGCTCCTGAGGTCCTTGTCCTTCGTGATCTGGGCATCCTGTACCACGCGATGCCACACCTCCTTCAGACGCCGCCCAGCCGCTCGATCCTGCCGAGTTGCTCGTGTGCTTCCAGGGCTGCGTTCTCGATCTCCACGCCGTTCTCGTGCATGTGGGCCAGGAGCTCCTTAGCGAACTCCTTGCCACGGTCCACGAAGATAGATTGGGGTAGCCCCGCCCAGCTCGCCCACACCGTGAGGAACGTGTCTAGCGCGACCTTGGCCGAAGGGGCGTGCTTGCCCTTGTGAAGGTACCAGACGATTTGGAACCTTGTGCCGTCGCAGACAATTTTGAGCTCGATGTACAAGGGCTGGCCGCACTTATAGCTAAAGGTGGTCGAGGCGAGCAGGGTGAGGCCGAACTGGCCGCAGAAGATCTGCTTCAGCATGGTCTTCCCCCTGGGTATTCGCCTCTTCCTGGTAGTAGTGCCCATCATGATGTCGAGTGACCGGGAGTCGATGGTGTACAGATCGTCGTGCATGACCCTTACCTTCTTCGCGCGCCTCGAGCTGGCCATCCTGATGGACTCGTCATTGTCCCAACCGATCTCGTTCGGGTTCTCGAAGGCCATCTCCGTCGCCAACGCCTCGACCGTCTGCATCACCACCTCCGCCTCCGGGAGCTCCACCGTATCGAAGCCGCCGCCGAGCCCGTCCTCAGCGATGTAGGCCTGAAACTCCGGACCGAAGACCCCCGGGTCTGGGAAGTCCAGCAGATTGACGCCCAGGTGGCCGCCGCTGGTCTTGAAGAGGGGTGCGTTGCAGGCGCCGATCTCGGTGAAGTCGGCGACCGCATTCGCCACGTCGATGACCGTCCCGAGCTTGGACTGCGTGTCCTTGGAGATGAGCAGCGGCGCGTCCTGATCGAGCTCTGCGGGCTCGATCGCGAACGGGATGCTGGCGATGCCCGCTGACATGTTGTACACCGTGTCGCTGCGGGCGTCCCCGCCAACTCCTCGGAAGTTGGTCTGCTGAGACCTTGGGACCGTCTTGAGCTTCCTGGAGAGAAGCTCCTCCTCGTACCTGACCCTCCAGGGCGCGCCATGCATGGTCATCTGGCAAGCTGTGTGAAACACCGCAGTGCCATGAGGATCCCTGGAGCAGGAGCCGTAGACCTCGGCGCTATCCTGGGAGCCGTTGCTCATCAACACCTGAAACGACCCGTCCTCATTTTGCGACGGGGGGTCCCACTCGCCCAGCGCCATCAGGTAGATCAGGAACCAGGCCAACCGGTACTGGTCAACGGAGAGCCGGGTGTGGTTGCTAGCCATCTCCGTCTTGATGAGATAATTGCCATACACGCAGGCCGCGGGGCCACTCTCCACGAACTCCGCGAACGAGTAGCCCCTGTACCTGCCAACCTTGATCTTCTCGCCGCCGAGGGGGACATTCTCGGTGTCGAGGCCCTTGACGTCCTGGTCGAAGTCCGCCGGGTAGGCCACGAACACTTGCTCGTCGTGTCGGTCCTCCTCGTGTACTCCTCGGCGGTCGGGAGCGCGTCCCACTCATCGTCGTCGGACGGCACCCTGATCTCGATCGCCTTCTTGGTGATCACCTCCTGCGCTGCGAGCTTCACCTTGGGTACTCTTCGGTTGTACTTGCCAGACCGCGCAGCGCCCGTCGAAGTGGAGGACGAAGCTGCCCTCGTAGACGCCGCCGGTGCCGCCTCCACCGGAAAGATCATCCTGCCCCTCAGCGTGAACAGCAAGGATGCCGTGAGATATTTCCAAAGCTCCTCGCCGCTGATCCTGTGCGCCTTTACCACGTGGATGCCGATCTTGTCGGGCAGGCACTGGTGGCACGTCAAGTACCTGTGCGTCCCGTTCGCGCCCTTGAAGAGCCTGGGGTCCGCCGCCAGCGCGTGCACGCATGGCTTCCCCATGACTGGCAACGACTGGCCTCGCCTCCTCGGCAGCCCAGCAGCTCCATCTCCATCGTCCGCGCTGGCCCTTAGCGTCTCGTCGCCGCCCTGCGCGGCCGTCTTGCTGCGGGGCCTAGCCTTGGGCTTCGGGCGAGCCCCCAGCTCGGAGGTAGCCGAAGGCGAGGCAGCCGCCACGAACACCTCCGCGATCCTGGACTCGCCGTTCTTGCCGCCCTCGCCGTTGAAGTCATTGAAACTGAAGTAGCTATTCTTAGGCCTGTCCGAAGGTGGAGCCGCCGATCTGCCCACAGCTGGCGCACCTCGTGGTTCTCTTTAGCTTCTCGATGCGAGCGCGTCGCTCACCGCCGTCGCCTGAGGCGCCTCCACCTCGGGCTCGGTCCTACGAACTCGAACTGCCGTTGCCACGACCACCGCCCTTGCCACGTCCGCGACCTCCCTTGCCTCGTCCACCGCCTCGAGCCTGCTGAAACCTCTGCTTGTTCTGCACGATCGCCGCGAAGCTCTCCGCCGCCTCCAGATCCATCTCGTCGATCTCCTCGAACGTAGCCTCCTCCTCGCCCAAGTAGATGTCCTCCTCCGGGGTCTGATCGTCGTAGAAGTGGTCGAGCTGGTGGTCGCCGTCGTCTTAGTGGTCGTGCTCATCGTCGTGCTCCGCCTGCCACGCCTGGCGGTGGCGGTACTGACCCTGCTGCTGGTAGCGCTGCGGCTTCGGGTCTGAGCGGTGCGCCTCTTGCTTGTTGTCCTTCTTGTAGTTCCGCTCCCGCTCGTGAATCCCCGAGTGCTGCATCCGCAGCGCCTTCGCGAACGCCTCCTTATCGTACTTGTTGCCTGCGCTGCTGATGATGCTGGCATGATCCGACTTGTCGAGCCCCGAAAACTTCAGCAGCATGTACCCCTGCAAATCGTCAGAGATGTTGGTCTCCTGCGAGACTTTCTTGAGATCGTCGAACGCCTTCGTCTGCCTGGTGATGTACTCCTGCATGCTCTCTCCCGAGCCGCGCCACACGCTTCGATCGTACAGAGCACCTTCGAACAGCTCCGCCGCGCGCACGGGCCTCTCCTTCAGGACGGACTCGCCCAGAGTACTCAGCAATAACTCCAGGCCTTGGGTCGTCGCCCTCTTGCGCGTCACCGTGTCGATGCCCTTGCCTCCAGCGTCGACGGTCTCCTCGACGGAAGGTGAGCAGCTCCTCATGCTGTACCGACCTCACCGCATCGTACGCGGTGCCAGAGAGACCGTTGCGCAGGTTGATCGGCGTCGCAATCTGCTTCTCGTCGCTCATGCGACCGTAGAAGGCGTCCTTGGCCCGCTCTTGGTCCTCCTCGAACAGCGATGGGTCGCCGTCGTAGAGCGGGATGTCCCTCTCGAAGGCGAGCCTCGAGGTCCTCGCCCTGCTCGGAGTGGCAGCGGCTCTGCTCGTTGCCAGAGCAGCCGTGATCAGGCTCGCGAGTGCACGCGCGGCCGTGCCGCGCTGCCGGAATGCACACACAGCCGCGCCGCGCTGGAGGTGACGCTGGACTCCGCCCAGGTGGTCCAGCTCCTGCGGGTCCGCCACAGCCCGCGCCGTGGTGCCGAGCCCACTCCCTGCAGGAGTGGCCAGCAGCCCCAGCCACAGGGCGCGATGCGCAGTCCTCCGCGAGCCGCGGAGGTGGGAGCAGACCACGGCGAACTGGTCCGCTCCGCTCACCATCAACTGACGGCCGCCGCCGTCGGGGAATTGGGGAACGGCTGCTGCCCGTAAACTCAAGAGCTCTGCAGACCAAACGGTTGCGGTCGAGCACGAGAGAGAGAGAGAAAGCAATACGACACAGCATGGAACGGGGATGACAGCGCCGGTTTCAACAGAGGAGGAGTAGGAGGACGGAGAACACGGGGCGCTGTCTCTTCAAATCGAGGAGCACCGCCCTGTCGGAGTTGAGCCCGCTCGGCGGCCCACTCGGCGGACGAACGGGCTCACGCCGAACGGTCTCACGAGGAAGCCACTGGGGAGGAGGCCAGGGCAAGTGGGGTCTGGGGATCGCGCTGCTCGGCAGCGAGCGAGGAGGGGAAGTGAGAAGGGAAAGGCCTTCTCCGAAGGTTCGGAAGTTCCATGGCCTTCTGAGAAGCTTCGTAAGCCTTCCCCTCTCCTTCTCACTTCCCCCCCTCGCTCGCCACCGAGCTGCATCTCTCGCGCATCGGCGACGCGGGGATGGAGAAACTCGGGCAACGGATCGCGCCGCATCGCCGATGCATCAGCGATGCGGCGCGATTCTCCGACCCCACCTGACATGACCCGCCGCCGGCAGCCGCAAGGGCTCGCACGCCGAACGGGCTCAGAAGAACCTTGGGGCAGACCCCAGTCGGCCGCCTGCAGATACGCAGAGAGTTCAGACGGGGCCCGAGTATCAGCGCGCTCCTCTACAATGGTGTGGCTCTCTCCATCTCCAGCTACACTGCTCAGAGGGTCCCACTCGATCGGCGAGCATTGCTGAAGGGGGTGGAAACGTGCTCAGAAGGGAACCCCTGGGGTGCGACAGGCTGGCCCGCCTGGCCAGAAACGCGCACGCGCGCGCGTGCACGCCCCCCCGTGCGAGCGGCCCGGCGTACCCGGACCAGCACTTCTCGGCCAAGTCGGGCGCCGGCTGGGTGATGGCGCTGCTGCACCCCGGGTGCTTCGAGAGGATACGAGGCATTGGGGGGCTCGACCTCGGCTTGCCCTCCGAGGCTCGGCGATCGAGGTTTGACGATCTAGGCCAGAGGTGTTTGCCCCTTTTCGGCCTCTGGGGGCTCGTCGTACAACTGGGTTCCCCTCGACACTCTTGGTCAGAGCGGACCTCGGGACAGGTCCACGGGTCGATCTGCGACCCCCGGGCCCAGACCGTCTTGCCCGGTCGCAAATTCATGACGGAGGACTTTGGACTTCTGTTGTTCCCTTGTGGGCCCTTGCCGGGCCCCGGGGCCGTCAAAAGTTGGATGGAAGAATCAACCGGTCCCAGGGGAGAGTTCCAGACCCGTGGGGGTCGCGCTGCGAGCAAGCACGCCACGCTGGAGTTCTGGGTTTCACGACGTCGTGGTGGGTTCCCCTCGAGTTCTCGACCCCATCCCAGGGACACGGTCTTTCCATGCCTGGAACCGTCGCTGGGCGGCCTCGGAGCCCGGAACCAGCCTCATGAGGCCAAACACGGCCGTCGCGAGTTTTTCGAGTCGGTCTCCTGTCGCCATGAAGGAAAACGATCCGACGGGAAGCGGGTCCGAGACCCTTGTGTTTTCTCGCCAGGGATGGGTTCTTTATCCTGATTTGTTTTCTGGCAGTCCCAGGGCCTGTGGAGGGCCGCAGGGGACCGAAAACGGCGAAAGCCGTGCAGGACTCCTGTCCCCCAGGGGCTCAGGACGAAATTCGATCGCTTCCGAGCGTTCCGGAACTCTGAGAGCGTTCCGCAGCGCTCTGAAACGGCCGCGGGGTTCGATACATCCCTCAGACTCGCCAGCTCTATCCCCGAGTCATCTTCACCCGAATGTATCTACATATCCTCTTGTTCGTCCTCCTCCGCGATCAGCCTCGAGGCGTCTTCGGGACGGCCGAGGGCTTCGCCGACGCGATCGCGGACTTCAGGCCCATCGGCTCTGGGAGCGGCATTAGCGGGGCGCAGCACTTCTTGTCTAAGGACGATCGCTTCTACATGAAGAGCATTCCGAAGACGGAACGGGGGTCTTAGGTCCAAGATTCAAGTCTCTTGGCAGTTTCTGTGCCTGTTTGGGCCTCCTGGTTAGGTTGCATCTCCTAGGAGGTTAGATTCAGCATCGGCGTTGGTATTTCCGTGGGTCACATCTGGCGGAAACCAGCGCAATCTGGCGTAATCTCAATTAGTCTGGGGCGAAAATCTGCTTCTCCAGGGCGTAGGATTGTTTAGCTTGGCATCGTGATGTGCCCTTTCAATCTGGCTAGATCGGTCTTCGTGGTTCCCAGGAAGCTCAGGAGTGCTCCTCATCCTGGGGCGCGCTCGCGTCCACGGTTGGATCCGCTCTGAATTTTTGGCCAGGACGCGCCCTGCGTTTCCCTCCCAATCTGGGCAAGGCGAACTGCACATGCCATTTTTGTCTTGGCGCCAGATAGAGGAGCCGGAGCACTCGCCCAGCAGCCGATAGGGGCAGCAGTTCTGCGACCATGTCATGGGAATGGCCACTCAGAGCGGGAGCTTAGCGGGCGACCGCTATGCGGGAGTTAGGAGGGCGGCGCGGACGGATATCACCCTACTCCCCCATGGTTCTCTGGGAATCATGTTTGACACCATCCCTCGGCTCTTTTTTGTCCAGTATTCGCTACCGAACGCGCAATACATATCGGTGTAGAGATCAATTTTCAAGCCTTCACTCACTGTTAGCCAGCTTGGGCCCCAAACAATGATTCCTTGCAGCCTTTGCGGTGCAGTTTAGGTGGTGCATTCAGAGTGGTGCAATCAGTGGCGTAATCCATGTGGTGCAGTCCATGTGGCGCAAAGCAGACATTCAGCGCAATGCAAACCAGTGCAGAGCAAAGCAAAGTAAAGCAAAACAATGCAGAGGAACGCGGCGACGGCAGCGACGTGAGGCGACGGGCGACGACCCGGCCGCACCAACACCAGGGCTCAGCGGCGACCGCGGCGGCGGGCGGTGACGAGCTCGCTGGACCAACACCGGGGCCCAGTTACCTTAGAATGCAAGTATCAACCCCTAAGTGCATACACTGTTTGGGAAAATATTCCTGCAGCAGGAGGGGTTGACTCCTTGCTGATGGCAAGCAGGGTGCAATACTGTCATTTGGGCGTTGGATCTCTTAGTTTATCAGGCTCTACATCTCTCATTCCTTCTCCTCCCTATTCAGATCCCGCGGCCCGACGGCAAGCCAGACAGTCTGGAGTTCAGTAGGTTAGATGAACCGACGTTGAATCCTTCCGATCCTGTTGCGATGGATCTCCAGCTGCGGTCCGCAACGTGAGGACAGAGGCAGAGGCCAGACAATGGCTTAACAATGAGGGCAGAACTACGCTGATCTAGTTGTGCATTGCCGATTGCCCCTTCAGACGTTTGGCAGCTGTAGAATCAGCGCAAGTCTGCAATCTTATCCCCCCCCCGTTTTCCCCTCAATCGGCGATATGCACCGCTCGAATAAAGCAGGCAGACATGTGCAGCACAGCAATCGCGTGCCCGACATCTCCAATGCAGGCCTGACCATCGGGCTATGAAGAAGATGCCGAAGCTTGTTCCCTCAACCACTCCGCCCTCGATCTCGCAAAATAAAGCGGCAGCGGGGACGGGCCAGGGGCTGGTGGCGTAAGTAGCGTCGGGCTTCCATCTTCTTATCCTTGTCTATAATGATTCGGCTTTTATTCGTCTGGTCTTCGCGCGGCAGGGTCTCCCTTCAGTTTTCTGCCCGCCTGCCTCGGCAGGAAGTGGCTCTCCTGGAGAGCGGCGCCTACATCCAGAAGCTCGTGGAGTACACCGAGGAAAACCCGTCAACTCTGATGATCCAGATGATGGCCGTCGTGAGGTTCCAGTACTCTAGCACATGGTCCTCCGAGTCGCGGTGGCTGCTCATCATGGACAACTACAAGCGCGGCGTGGACCGCGGGAAGGACTCGTTCGTCGAGTTCGACATCAAGGCCAGCAAGTGGAAGCACAGGACCAGAGGAACAAACAATGGCGCAAGCACAGACCTCCAGAGGCCCGTGCGTTTTTTTTTGGCAGGCGCTGGACCTCCCCCTCCCCAGACCTCTTCGCACGCACGTCGTCGTTGGTCAGTCGACGAAGCGTCAGCCCGACACGGACGAAAACGGCATCGACGTCCGGCTGGATTGTCTTAGCCTGACCTGGCGCGCTCCGCGCGCTCGCCCCGAAGGGCGCGCGCGTGGGGTCCGGAGCTGACCCAAGGAGTCCGCGCGGGCCTCTTTCGGCTCATGCTTCCGAGGCAGGAATTTATACATGACCACCGCCTGGAGTATCTATTTTCGGGGCCTCGGCAGGCGATGGATCTGGACATGTTCGGACCCCCGGGGGCCAAGGTATATCATATATCCACCGCCCGCTGGCGCACCAGGACGTCGGTTCCCAGGCGGTGGATCTGGAGAAATCCTCGCCTCGCAATGCTGGCGTCGTGTGATTTTTATGTCTCCTCCGAGGCTGCAGAGGAAGGGCGGCCGCCGCTGCTCGCCGATGTTCCCCCTGGACTTCTGGAAGAGCGGGGCGGGCGAGGCCCACGAGTTCGAGGGGGAGGACCTCGACTTCTATGCCCTCCGGACGCAGACCAACCGGGAGTGGCTCGAGGACACCGAGTCGAAGAGGGCTGCCGCCCCAGCGGGAAGCTTCCGGCGCAAGTTCCTGAGCAGAGAGATCGAGTCGCTGCCCGCCTACGACGACTGCATGGGCGGCGAGTACGCGACGCAGTGGCTGACCCACAAGGCCGGCAGCGACTTCGACTTCTGCAGGGCGCCGACCTTGGCTTGCCCCAGCCCTGCGAGCGGCCCCGATCGACGTGGCCGTCTGCCGAGGGCAGAATGCCCCTGCACCTCCGGCCTCCTTCGCAGCTCTCCTCGGCACGGGGCACCGGAGCCCTCGACCCCATCCCCGCGGGCCAGACTTGCGCCAGGGGCTGTGCTCTCACGCGGCGGGTTGGCCCCTCCCATCGCGAGGAGGAGGAGGAGGAGGAAGAGGAGGAGGAGGAAAAGGAGGAGGAGGAGGAGGAGGAGGAGGAGGAAAAGGAGGAGGAGGAGGAGGGAGGAGGGAGGAGGAGGGAGGGAGGGAGGGAGGGAGGAGGAGGAGGACGAGGAGGAGGAGAGGAGGAGGGAGGAGGAGGAGGTGGGAGGAGGAGGAGGGGGAGGAGGAGGAGGATGGGGCTGGTCCGAGTACGGCGGCGCCCTGGCCACAGATGGGCAGGCAGGCCGGTAGGAGTGGTGCGGCGGGCAGTCCGAGCGCTCGAGGAGGGCGCGCGGCGTGTCCAGGGCCTAGGCGGCTTGGGGCCCCCCCCCCCTCCCCCCCCCCCCCCCGTGTGTGCACGAACGAAATGGGCACGGAAAGAATGGGTACAATGCCCAACAACGGATCTTGCTCATTTTGAACAGGACTCGCTGTCCATGCCGCCGCGGCCTGTATCCATTCGAAACAGAAGGCCGCCTGCCCAACAGCGGCCGCTGTTGCTTTGGGACAACATTCGTTGTTGGGCATTGTACCCATTCTTTCCGTACCCGCAGGTTGGGGCTTCCTGTTGGGCGCGGGCCGTGCGAGGGGCGGGCTGCGCTGCAGCGGGGCAGGCAGAGCCGTGGAGCGGAGCAGCACGACGGAGAGCAGCAGCAGCTCTGCTCAAGCCGGGCATGTCCCTCTGCAGGAGGGATATTCAGAAATGGTTTGGAAAGAAGCAGTCTGGGGACGAGTTGTTGAGCATTTGTTGGCCATGTTGGGGGCATTTGTGGGGTATTTTTTCGCCCCAACATCCGCCTGTAGGGGGGACATGCCCGACCTATAAACATCTGCAGCGGCCGCCCCAGTAGGCAGTACGCATCGCAGCAGCACGGGTAGGGAAGATGGGGCGGGAGGCCTCCCAGATGGGGTCCGAGTATAGGGGAACAAAAAGTGGCATAAACATAAAAACTCGGAGGTCCGCGCGGATTTCTCGGATCGGTGCTGGACCCCCTCCCTGGCGCGCGGAGCGCGCCAGGGGCGGCGCCGAAGCCGCCGCCAGGGGGCGGATCCGAGAAATCCGCGCGGACCTCCGAGTTTTTATGTTTATGCCACCTTTTGCTCCCCTGGAGTAGATGAGCTCGGAGGATTGCGCCGCATCGCCGATGCCTCGGCAGTGCGGCTCGATGCGGAGCCCGATCTCCCCAGGCCGACGTCGCCGATGCACTGGTGATGTGTCGACGATGCGGCGCGACCCTCCGACCCCATCCGCTCCGACCCCAGCTGGGAGCGGGAGGCCTCTGGACGAGGAGCGGTCCGCGGAGTGCGGCGGAGAGAAGAAAACGAAGCCGATGGCCTCACTCCACGGCGCGGCGCGGACCAAGGTGAGGAGCCCCGGTGCTCCTCCCACGCCGTGGCAACAGAGCCAGTATTCGTCGGGTGGGGATCTTCGGCCGACCCTCGGGTCCCCGAAGTTGGCCCGAAAAACCCTGGAAACGGGCCCCGGAAACCATGTTGGCGCATGTTGGATTTGATTCCGAGGTCTCGAAATAGTCACCTGGTGAAGCTCTTGACGCTTCGCGTATCCCCACCAGTTTGCGCGTTCTCGCGCTAATTATCTTGCGCTGTGCCCCAGCCTCGGTCATACCGCCCTGTGGACTTTTCCTTGCGGGCCGCTGATCAAAAAAGTATCCCCACCAGCTGCAGGTTCCACGCAGGGCCCCCAGAGGCCGAGAACGAGGCTCCCGTAGGGAACCTAGAGGCGTCCGTGGTCGAGGTATCTGGAGAGGAGGTCCAGGGTATCACTATCTGTGTCCAGCGGCTTTTGGCTGCGCCCCCCTCCTATCATTCACAAGTCTCTGCGGCTTTTGGCTGCGCCCCCCAGCATAGATTGCATCGACCGTTGAAGAGCGTCCGCCCTGAGACCTGCCCAGGATTGGCTTCGTCTGTGAGCGGCCCCGCATCGAGTGGTTCAGCCTTCCGCGGTCCATGTTCGTCTCGCTCTGCTCGGCGCAGCCACAGCCCCAGCCCTCGCCGGGACATTGCGTCGTTGTGCCCCCGAATTGCGTGAGTCGGATACGATGCATGTGGACCGGCTACCAGCTGGTGGTTGTCAGCCGCCTGCAAGCACACCAGTGGTCTCTTATGGGACGGTGCCCCGACACCCCTCATTGACACCAGTGCTCAGCGGCTTTTGGCTGCGCCCCCCTCCTGCCTGTGGCCCGCCCTGGTCCGTCGCCGACCCGGCCATGGTTCTGTCTTGGCCCGCTGTCAGCACGCCGCCTGCGAGCGGTACGGCCCAGCTGCTCGGCAGCCGCCAGCCATCGTCACGTCATCGGCGTCGGGGTATTGGCTTCCGCCCTTGCAGTGTGGCAGGTGTGCTTGGGTGCAGCCGTCAGCCATACACTCGGTGACACCCGGTGTTTGGCTTCGTCAAGTGAGCGGCCCTGCATTGAGTGGTTCAGCCTTCTGCAGTTCGTGGTCGCTCTCTTCAGAGCAGCCCTGGCTACCAGCCCTCGTCAGTACTTTGCATCGTTGTGCCCCCGAACTGCGTGAGTCGGGTACGATGTGCACGCACTGGCTACCGGCTGGAGGTGGCTCAGCCTCGTGAGCGTACACCAGTGGTCTTTCTCTACTGGAGGGCGCTCTGACGTAGATCAGCCACACCTTTGCAAGTGAGCGGCCTTGCATGAGTGGTTCAGCCTTCTGCAGTTCGTGGTCGCTCTCTTCAGAGCAGCCCCGGCTACCAGCCCTCGTCAGTACCTTGCATCGTTGTGCCCCCGAACTGCGTGAATCGGAGACGATGTGCTCTTATTGGCTACCGGCTGGAGGTGGCTCAGCCTCGTGAGCGCACACCAGTGGTCTACTGGTTGGCGCTCTGGCGCGTTCAGCCACACCTGAGGTCCAGTGGGCCTCGATGAGTCAGGCCTTGCCGCACCATCGTTCACCCGGGGGGCTGCAGTGAGTCTGAGTTAGTCGCTCGCGCTCGCCCTCTCCCCCCTCTCTTGCCACCTGTGTCGCTTGTGGTTTGGCTGGAGCTTGGCGCCGAAAGGGCGACTTCTCCGCCAGTCGCTGCGCCGTGGCGTCCCCGCCGCCGGGATGTCTGCGCCGGACTTCGGCGTTTAATTTGGGTCATTTTGTCCCTTGCATGTGCATGCGCCTCTTCGGCCAATTATCTTCGTTTCGCGCCCCGTTCGATGCCCCGCTTCTTGACCTTCGCCAGGGAGCCGCCAACAAAAAAAGTATCCCCACCAGCTTTGTCCGCCGACTCTGGCGGCATTGTCTTGCAATTAGCCTCGTTCTGTGACCCGGACGCCGCTTCCGCTCTTTGACCGTTGCCTGAGAGCCGCCGACCAAAAAAATATCCCCACCAACCCATCCAGAAACGATGCCCATCATTGCCAATCATAGTTGCTTGGATGAAAAGGTTGAAAGGGGAGGAGGAGGAGGAGGAGGAGGAGGAGGAGGAGGAGGAGGAGGAGGAGGAGGAGGATAATGAGGAGGATAATGAGGAGGAGGAAGAGGAAGGAGGAGGAGGAGGAGGAGGAGGAGGAGGAGGAGGAGGAGGAGGAGGAGGAGGGAGGAGGAGGAGGAGGAGGAGGAGGAGGAGGAGGAGGAGCAGGAGAGAAACCTAATGGGCTTCGCTGGTGGTTCTGGGTGAGGTAGGGCTACTACCTTCAGAGCCGTCGTTGCCGGTGCCAGAGAAGGAGGAGGAGGAGGAGGAGGAGGAGGAGGAGGAGGAGGAGGAGGAGGAGGAGAGCAAGCATGAGCAGTAGGAGGAACAGAACCAGGAGAGGGCGGAGGAGGAGGAGGAGGAGGAGGAGGAGGAGGAGGAGGAGGGATCACTAGGAGGAGGAGGACGACGACGACGATCATGAGGAGGATGAGGAGGGTAATCAGGAGGAGGAAGAGGAGGAGGAGGAGGAGGAGGAGGAGGAGGAGGAGGAGGCGTTCGCGGGTATCGGTCCTAAGAAGGTTTTGCCTAAGGGGTGTGCGTTTTTGTGTTAAGAAACTGGTGGTTGCGACGTCGCTCACCAGAGGCGGCGTTCGGCCTTCCTCGGGTTCTTTGGCCTTGGTTCCTTGCTGACTTCCTCGGGTTCCGTGGTCTTGGTCCTTTGTTGCTTTCCTCGGGTTACTGGGTCTTGGTTCCTTGCTGCCTTCCTAGAGTTCTTAGGTGTTGGTACCTTGCTGCAGTGACAAGCAATGCCAAGCAATGCAAATCACTGCCAAGCAATGCCAAACCATGCAAAGCAACGCAACGCAATGCCAAGCAATGCACCCATGCATCAGGAATCATTCACCTAATCGGGGTCACGCTGGGCTCATGCTTTGAAACCCCTCATCAGTCCTGGCAGTCGCCGCGGGATTGGGGTGACCGTCGGATCCAAGATTTCGGGTTTTCTTTGGTGTAATTTCGTAAATCGCAGCCCTCTGGGATGGTGAGGTCTTACTTGGATTTGCGTAGGACGTCACTATATTGGACCCCCTCGGCAACTTTCGAAAGCGGCGACATTTCTGCAGGTCGCAGCCCACCCAGGCATGGTGAGGCTAGCCTGAATCTGCGCAAGACGTCAATATGCTGGACCTCCAGCGGCCCTCGAAAGCTGCGATAGTTTCGCATACCGCAGCCCCCCCCCGAAAGTGGCGGCACTCTCGCAGATCGCACCCCCCCTCCCAGGGATGATGATGATGATGATGATGCTTAACCTGAATCTACGTAGGGCGTCGATATGCTGGACCACCCCAGCAGCCTTCGAAAATGGCGACAGCCTCGCAGATCGCAGCGCCCAGGGATGGTTGGGTCTAGTCGGAATCTGCGTAGGCCGTCACTATGTTGGACCGCCCAGCAACCATCGAAAATGGCAACAGCTGCGCAGATCGCCGCCCACTCCCCCAAGGATGGTGAGGTCTATGTTGAATCAGCATAGGACGTCATTATGGCGACGGGTTCGCAGATCGCAGGCCCCCCACCGCGGCAGGAGGTAGGAAGGAGAGGGAGGGGGAGGCGGAAAGGCGAAGGAGGAGGAGGAGGACGAGGAGGAAGAGGAAGGAAGGAGGGCGAGGAAGAGAGGGAGGGGGAGGCGGAGGAGGAGGACGAGGAGGAGGAGGAGGACGAGGAAGGGAGGGAGGGGGAGGCAGAAAGGAGAAGGAGGAGGAGGAGGACGAGGAGGAAGAGGAAGGTCGCGTTCGCAGCCGCCAAAGGATGGTGGGGCCACGTAGCACGGCGCGGTAAGGGGCAGATGGGCGGGAAGAGGGGAGGAGAGGGGCGGGAGACGGGAGATGCGCGTGCAGTGCTCGATTTTAAAGCGAGAACCCAATGCAGGAGGGTTGGGAACATTCAGTGCAGAAAGACGCGGGGAGCCCGCGCGTGAACCAGCTTTTGACACACCATGTGTTTTGCATTGAGTGCTGACTTGGTTGGTGGGTCTGCGCAGGACGGACATTTTGAGGACACCGCCGCCGCCGTCCTTGTCAAAAACCGATGCACACTTATCATGGGGCGCCCGCGCACGGTCGGGATTTTGCCGCGACGTGTAGTTTACATTGTGTGTCGATAGGGTTGGTAGGCTTGCACAAAGCAGACAGTATGATGGTCCCCACCGTCCCTGTCAACAGCCAAATGCAAGTGCACGGGGCGCCCGTGCCGTGTCCAGATTGCGCCGCAATGTGCACTTTGCAGTGCGTTTTGACAGGGATGGCGGGTGGCGGCCACCGCGTATTGTCCCGGGTTTGTTACTGGTCGGGCGGGGGAAGGGTGTGTGCAGATAGATACACATTATACATCCTTACATGTATGTATGTATACAAGGAGCAGTGGCAGACGCCTCCCCAAAGGGGAAGAGGGAAGATGGAAGAGGAAACGCTCGAAACCACCTACGCCCAGAGGGCTGGTGGGGTTTATCTGGGCGCGCACACGACTCTAAGATTAGTCGTGGACCCTCCAGCGCAAGCCGAGGAACCGCAGAAGCCGTTCGGCCCGCGCGAATCTGCGGGGGAAGCGGGCTCTAAGGAGCTGGACGGCCTCGGCGGCAACCTGTCGGAGGAGATCGCGGCGCGCCTCCTCTCGGACTACTCGATGGCCGACCTCCAGGCCCCCCCGCGGGGCGCGCGGCCCGCAGCGAGGCTGCGCTGCTCTGTCTGCGCCCAGATCTCTCCTCCTCCTCCTCCTCCTCCTCCTCCTCCTCCTCCTCCTCCTCCTCAGGCCGGCGGTTTTTCTTCGAGTGCGGCCATCGTGGGCAGTTTTCGGGCCATGGGTCGGGGATGGCCAGGACCCCGGATAAGGGGACCCAGTTACTGGTAGGGCCCTGGGGCCCCTCAATTGGCCAGATTCACTAAACCAGGTTTGCCGTAGCTGGTGTTTTTCGGGTGACGGCAGTTCCGGTTAGTGGAAATGGGACGGGGGGGGCGCCCCCGGTACAAAGCACTAAACCAGGTTCCACTAAACCCAGTTCTGCCAACGCCCGAATGGGACCATCGAAAAAGGATGGGGCACGAAAGCAACCCTGGGGGATGGGTAAGGGCTTCTGGGGTCGCGGATTCGACAAACTCAGATCGGCGGATGTCAGAGCACCTGTTCCTCCGCCTCCCTCCCCATCTTCCGATGTGCGTTCCTCTAACGCAACTATCGTAGGAATATGTGCGCTCGAGGCCGTCCCGCAGGTGGTGCAGCAACAGACCGCACGGCTTTGACGACGGCCAGAATAGGTACAGAGCTTGCTACGCCCATGACTCGGTTCGTGCGTTTCGCATGTGGCCGTAAAGGCCCCTGGACGGGCCTCATGATGCCACGAGGACTCCTCCCTACTTCATCAATTCGGCTTCATCAGTTGCACGGCACAGAACATGGTCACAATGGTCACGGACTCCAACATGTCATGAGGTGCTTGTCGCTTGCGCGCGCTCGTGCTGTGCGGTGATGGGCCCTGCTCCTCCTCTCCCCGCCCTCCCTCAGAGGCCTGGGTTGGCCTCTGAAGGCCCCTTTCGGGACCCGGTACCATACTTTCTGAAAAATGATCTGGGATGATGATTCCTGGGATAGGGTCGAAGTATCCCGAACCCAGGTGACGCAAGCATTATGGTCGGATGATTGGGTCGTCGTGGTTATCACCATCGCCCTATATCGCGATCGTCCCTCGACTTCCTTCTCAATGTCCTTCTGCTCCCTCGTCCTCCAACTTTTCGTCTTTTCCTCCTGTTCCTCCCATTCCTCCCCTTACGTAGCCACTTTGGCTCAATATTCCAGGTTTTCTGGGGGGGCATGCGGATACCTTTTGATCCGAGGCTTGACCAGAAGGTTACGTCCGCACGATCCTCGCAGTGAGCCGCCCAGCGGCTGCGAGATTTTTGCTCGCGCCTCCAGGTTGCCTCTTGCACCGGTGGCAACGGGTAGGCTGAGATATTGTAAGCTTCTGTTGCCACAAGTGCCGATCTCCGCCTCATGTTGGACGCGGGGCTCTTCAGCATGACGAGGATCACCCCAGTCGACCTGATGGCGCCTTCGGGGGACGGCAGCCGTCGTGACAAGAAGAAGAAGAAGAAAAAAGAGAGAAAAAGAGAAACAGCCGATCGCGTTCGAATATCCTATGTCGTGACCGTGCAGAACGCAGTACTGCCCCATCGGAAGCACCACCGTGAATGGTTGAAGCGATGGGGAAGGTCCCGTCTGCTTCGAGAAGCGTGGCGTACCTGGACGGAACGCTCGGTAGCGAGCCCTCCAACTTCCACAACGCCCTGGAGGGTCAGGGCAGTGCGCTCAAGGCGCTGGAGGATCGTACGGCCGCTCTTGAGTTGGGATCTCTGGGGCCAATCGACAGGGCCGTGGCGGCGGCGGTCGACGCCAGGATGCAAGATCGATTCAAGACGGTGGACAATGAGGTCGCCGAGCTGAAGAACCGTCCCCGACCGATTCCTGCTGCAGCGGGTTCGACGGGGAGCACAGCTTGTAAAGGAGGCCACTGCTCTTGTGAAGACAAGACGTTGAATCGGTATGTTCCCAAGGTCATTGACGGGTGCTCAACGCCAGCAGCATTGGAATGACATCGTGTACCTGAAGCTCCCCCACAAGGTGCAGACCGCGGCAGAGGTGTCCATCTCGAGGGTGGACAAGAGCCTTTCGGTCGACTTCGACGACATCGAGAGCGCTCAGGAGTTCAGTGACGAGCTGATGTGCGAGGCCATCGCGTGGCGTGACCTAAGTGACGGTCGCTGCGCTGAGGTGCAAGCGCGAGGAGACCTACCAGTCGACGTTCGAGGGCGTCAACGCGCCGCATGGTTGGCGCGGCAAGGCGCCCTCGCCTTGATCAAGGCTGACAGCCAAGATATTGCTGGATCCGGTCTGTGCGCGAGTAGATACCAGGGCCTACAGCCGAAGGGGCATGCGAGTTGTGCGGGGGCGAGGCTGCCCGCAAACAGGATGCGCTTTCGAGCCCGTGCCCGGCTGCTTCCGCTACAGGAGGGTCAAGGCTGAGGACGTGCACGCGCGGATCGAGAGGGTCAGCAGAGTCCACACCGCTACTGGATACAAGTGGAGGCAGCCAGGGGTGATCTTGTCATCGGGGCATCAGAATCTCATCGGCGACGTACAATGGGCGCAGTGCTGCCTGCGCAGTGTTTTCCATGCGGCGTCGAAAAACTGCGTTGATGACTGGTCCCCTCCTCTTCGGTTGATGGAGATAATCCTACACCGCCCACGCGACCAGGGTGCCGAGGTGAATTTCAACGCGCCCCCGTGCACCCGATTCAATATTGGTTGGCATCGCCAGCGGGGGGCAGGATTTCGGCAAGTCCACAGATTGACACACCGCGGCGCAGCCCGCCAATACTAAGTTGGGGGCACGGGGGCCGTGAACAAGAATCGACATCAAAGGTTCAGGATTTTGTCCATCGTCCTCCCCTTCCGCGCCGGGCTCCCCCCCCGGCGGCGCCTCCAGTGCCACCCTTGGCGCGCTCCGCGCGATAGGGAGGGGGGTCCGGCGCGGATCCAAGAAATCCGCGCGGAGCGCCAAAATTGTATGTTTATGCTAATGATTTTCCAACCTACTTTAGCCTTGGCTGCCAGACAGAATTTCGAGCACCAAGAAAGTACCGCAACTGCGAGGTTTTTCCCCAGGGAGCGCGCGCGCGCAGGTAGCAGGATGGCTCAGAATTCCCTCTGCTTGGGCAGCGCGGCCGCTCCTCCCATGCACGGCTCTGGCTCTCCCGCTGGCGCGTCCGATTGGGCCACACCCTTCCTGGCCGCGTGCGTCCCCTCCCTCTCTTTCTCCCCGTCCTCATCTCTGGGCCTCCCAGATGGAGTCGGAGTAGATGGGGTCGGAGGATCTCGCCGCATCGCCGATGCATCGGCGATGCGACTCGAGGTGGCGTCCGATTTTCTCTGCTCCGACGTCGCCGATCAATCGTCGATGCAGCGCCGATGCGGCGCGGTGCTCCGGCCCCCTCATCTACGCGGACCATTTGGGAGGCCTCTACCGAAAAAAAAAACGCCATACACATAAGCTTTTAACGCTCCGCGCGGATTTCTTCGATCCGCGCTGGGCTCCCCCTGGCGCCGCCTCCGGCGCCGCCCCTGGCGCGCGGGATCTGGCGCGGATCCAAGAAATTCGCGGGGAGCACCAAAAGTTTATGTTTATGCCGTTTTGTTGTCTTCTATTCTACCTCCTCCTGGTTTCTTGCCGTTTTTTGAATGCTGGTTTCTTGCCGTTTTTTGAATGCTGGTTTCGGCCCCGCCGCCGGGCCTATTCCTCGATACATGGGCGCCTCCCGGCGCCTGGAGGCGCTGGGAAAATCAGCTACGTGAGCTGATTCTCTACCCTACCCTTTGCTATCCCCCCCTTTCGTTCCCCCCGACTCTGGGAGGCCTCTACCTCCTCCTCGTCCTCATCCCTCTCACCTCTCACTCTTCCTTCTCCGTCCTCCCCCCTGCGCCCCCCCCCTTCGCGAGAGGCCCTCCAGGGCGCGTGGTCAAAGGCGAAGCTGCCCTGCGAGAGCTTCGTCCGGGGCTCGGCGGGCTTGCGCCAGCTGGGACGGCGCGGTGCGGCGATTGAGCGCGCCTTGCGTTAAGTCGGGCATGTCCCTCTACAGGAGGAAATTTCCCAAATAGTCAGAAATCGTCTGGGGACTATGTTTTGATCATTTGTTTGTTATTTTGGTGTTATGTTTGGGGTATGTTTAATTTTTCGCCCAAAATCCGCCTGTAGGGGGACATGCCAGACCTAAGCCTTTTGCGTCCACCAGCCTGGGAGCGAGCCTCGAGGGCCAGGATCGAAGATCGAAGAGGAGGAGGACGATGAGGCGGCGGAGGAGGAGGAGGAGGAGGTGGACGATGAGGAGGACGATGAGGAGGAGGAGGAGGAGGAGGAGGAGGAGGAGGAGGAGGAGGAGGAGGAGGAGGTGGACGATGAGGACGATTATAACATCCGCTAATGCTTGTGTTCGCCTGCCTGCCGGCGAACGCCCAGCAGTTCGACGTGCCGGCGCCGCGTCAAGGAACAAGGAGGAGGAAGGCGAAGGCCCGGGCCCTCCTCGCGTCGCACGCGGCGGCTCCGAGGCCTGGAGTTGGCGCCCGAGGCGGCGGTGCATTCTGGGGCTGTCGAGCAGGGAGCTGGGGCGCGGGCTCCGGCCAGGGTCTGGGGCCACTTGGCGCGCCCGCGCGACGTCGACTCTTCCCGCGGCCAGACCGCGGCGTGGTCTGCCAACGACGTCGCCGCTCCCGGCCCCGAACTTTTTCCAGCGCTGGCCGCGGTCAGTTTTCCCAGCGCGCGCCCGAGGCTTTCCACTTGGCTGGTGTTTTCAGCGCTTGGCCTTGTCAGGGTTTCCGTCGCGGGCCTGGGGGGTCGCTGGCGCGCGCGTTTTCAGCGCTGGCCACTCGTAGTTTGTGCAGCGCAGGCCTGGCCCGCTCGACGCGGCCAAACGCGCTGCTCGCTGGTGGGCGTCTGCGTCGCGCGCTGGCGTTCTTTCCAACTGCGGCCTTTTCATAATTCTCTCCCGCGGCCCGGCCATTGTTTCCACAGCTGCCTCGCTGCCCCAAAGAATTTGTCCTTCCGATGGCCTCGGACAGATGCGACGATTTCAGCCCGTCGACGAGGGTAGTTTAAATCAGTTTCCATGACCCCCCCAGGGATTTGTTTTGTGTGTTGCTTCGTTTGATTATCATTTGTTTTGGGGGTTCCATTTCGGGACCACAAAACATTGTTTGTTTAGCTGAGAACCCCAAAAATCATTGTGATTTTTTGTTGTGCAGATGGGAACCATCAAACCTTGTTTTTGTGTGCTGCTTTCCACACCTGAGCAAACGAACACCACATGAGAACACCAAACAACAAAACAACAAAACAATCCTTCGAGGACTCTTGCCCAAGACCTCCCCAGTTGTTTGTTCACCCCTTCGTATTTTTCCCAACCATCCTGTGGTGTTGGGTCCTCTTTTTGAAGAGTCGGTGCCCCGTGTTCTTTCCTCTCCTCCTCTCCTCCTCCCCCTCCTCCTTCCTCCTTCCTCCCCCCCCCCCTCCTTGCCTCTGCCCCAATGGCTGTGTCCACATGCGTCCGCGCCACCCAATTCGGCTCACCCCTTACACGCTTCGTCGCCCCATAGGGAGCTCCGCCGAAGGCCCGAGTGGCGGTGTCCACATGCGTCCGCGCCATCCATGTCGGCGCACCCCTCACACGTCTCGTCGCCCCATAGGGAACTCCACCGAAAACCCCAGTGGCGGTGTCCACATGCGTCCGCGCCATTCATTTCGGCGCATCCCTCACACGTTTCGTGGCCCCATGGGTGCTCCACCGAAAGCCCCAGTGGCGGTGTCCATATGCGTCCGAGCCACCCATTTCGGCACACCTCTCACACGTCTCGTAGCCCCATAGGAGCTTCACCGAAGGCCCGAGTGGCGGTGTCCACATGCGTCCACGCCATAGATTTCGACGCACCCCCCGCACGTTTCGTGGAACCATAGGGAGCTCCACCGAAGGCCCCAGTAGCGGTGTACACACGCGCTCGCGCCACCCATGTCGGCGCACCCGTCACAGGTTTCGTGGCCCCATGGGGAGCTCCACCGAAGGCCCCAGTGGCGGTGTCCACATGCGTCTGCGCCACCCATGTCGGCACACCCCTCGCAGATGTTGTGGCCCTTTTATGGAACTCCACCGGAGAGGCCCCCGCGACAGTGTCCACATGCGTCCGCGCCACCCATGTCGGCTCACCCCTCACACGCTTCGTCGCCCCATTGGGAGCCCCACCGAAGGACCCAGTGGCGGTGTCCACATGCGTCCGCGCCATCCATGTCGGCGCACCCCTCACACGTTTCGTCGCCCCATAGGGAGTTCCACCGAAGGTCCCAGTGGCGGTGTCCACATGCGTCCGCGCCACTCATGCCGGCGCACCCCTCACACGCTTCGTGGCCCCATAGTTGCTCCACCGAAGGCCCCAGTGGCGGTGTCCACATGCGTCCGCGCCACCCATGTCGGCGCACCCGTCACAGGTTTCATGGCCCCATGGGGAGCTCCACCGAAGGCCCCAATGGCGGTGTCCACATGCGTCTGCGCCACCCATTTCGGCACACCCCTCGCAGATTTCGTGGCCCAATAGGGAACTCCACCGAAGGCCCCCGCGACGGTGTCCACATGCGTCCGCGCCACCCATTTCGGCGCACCCGTCACGCGCTTCGTGGCCCCATAGGGAGCTCCACCGAAGGCCCCAACGGCGGTGTCCACATGTGTGCGCGCCACCAATTTCGGAGCCCCCCTCACACGTTTCGTGGCCCCATAGGGAGTTCCACCGAAGGTCCCAGTGGCGGTGTCCACATGCGTCCGCGCCACTCATGCCGGCGCACCCCTCACACGCTTCGTGGCCCCATAGTTGCTCCACCGAAGGCCCCAGTGGCGGTGTCCACATGCGTCCGCGCCACCCATGTCGGCGCACCCGTCACAGGTTTCATGGCCCCATGGGGAGCTCCACCGAAGGCCCCAATGGCGGTGTCCACATGCGTCTGCGCCACCCATTTCGGCACACCCCTCGCAGATTTCGTGGCCCAATAGGGAACTCCACCGAAGGCCCCCGCGACGGTGTCCACATGCGTCCGCGCCACCCATTTCGGCGCACCCGTCACGCGCTTCGTGGCCCCATAGGGAGCTCCACCGAAGGCCCCAACGGCGGTGTCCACATGTGTGCGCGCCACCAATTTCGGAGCCCCCCTCACACGTTTCGTGACCCTATACAGAGTTCCACCGATGACTGTATTCACAACTGCAGTACTTTCAACTGCATGTGGTTGGGTCCTTCGCCAGGCGAATGTGTTTCAATTTTGGAGCCCAAAAAACTGCCCGCTGAAACCTCAAGACATCCAGAAAAAGGTCAACAGAAAAACACATACCTGAAGGAATCTTGTCCAAGACCTCACCAGGGGTTGGTTTGTTTTGGTGGTTTGTGGTCCTCCGCTTTAAACAACCTCCGCTGCAAATAAAACATGGTCCGTTTCAAAGCCTCTTCCCTGTTTCCCCCTCAGGTCCGCACAGGGTTATGTTTCGTGTATAAATAGTATGTGCGTGCATCAGCATTTGCATAGAGAGGGAAAGAGAGAGAGAGAGAAAGAAAGAGAGAGAGAGAGAGAGAGGGCGAGAGAGAGAGGCATACATATATATATATACACATCTATATACACATATTTATATATACATATGTAAATATTTACATACATACATCCAGACATACATACATACATACATACATACATACATACATACATATACACACCATATTACAGTGGCATTTCGCGCCATGCACCTTGGTCCTTGACGCTTGGTGTGCAGGAGGAATGGCAGGAAGGTCAAGCCGACAATTTAGCGATAACTCTTTGTTGCCTTTTCCGACATCGCCGTTCTAATAATGGTATTCGTTACCTTTCCTCTATGTTTCTTTTTCTTCATTCTCGCCATGCCCTGCGCATTCTCCCCATCCTCCTCAGCTCTTTTTGCGGAGGCTCCTTCTTGGAGAGCTTCTGGGGGCTTCACAACAGTTTTTTCCGACTTTCTTAAGGCCTTCTGGAGGGCTCCCTTCTGGAAGCATCTGGGGGCTTCCTCGGGCCACCCTGCCTCCAATCGCGGTTTCCTTGAACGACCAGGTTACGATTTGGAATGCTTCGGAGGGTGTCTTGGGGCCATCTTGAGCCGTCATGGAGCTCTTTGCGGCATCTTGGAACCCTGTTGTGCCGTCTTGGGGCTCTCTTGAACTGCCTGGAAGCTCTTTCGGATGGTTGTGGGGCGATTTTCGAGTCTCCCAGGCGGCTTCGGACGCCCAGAAGACCGCCGTCTTGGAGCGTCGGGAAGCCGAAAAGAGAACCCCAACATTCACCAAAAAACTGCAGAAAATCAACGAATTTTGCCTCTTGGAGCCTTTTTGGGAGTGCTCTTGGAGGCCTCTTGGGGCGTGTTGGAGCAATCTTTGGGACGGCTTCTTGGGGGTCGTCGTGGACTGTTTTGGGGCTGTTCGGGGTCGTTTCGGGAGCGCGCCGGAACGCCTAGAACCCTCTGGGGCCGTCTTCGGGCTCTCGTGAGGTTCTCCCAGGTCGTCTTGATGGTTGCCCGGAGGCCCAGGGTGGGCCAAATTCGTTCGGGGGGAGGGGGCGTTTTTTCCAGGGTCCCCGGCCGTACAATATATATGAAAAGGAAAACGCTGTATATGTATACGTACGGAAAGAGATTGGGAGAGAGGGATAATGAAAGGGAGGACGTGGAGGGCGATAGACAAGACAGCAGGGGGTCGGGGAGGAGGAGGAGAAACACAGATACGACCAGGCGGATGAGATAGGACGGACGGAAGGGATACGGAGGGGAGGGGAGGTGTATAGATGGATTGAACATGGCAATGGCTCGGATGGCTCTGCTCATCTCCCCTGCATTCCGCCGAGGTTTACTCTGGATCGACCAGTTTTGAGGCAGACTGGAAGGCTTTTCTTCACCAGGAGAAGGCTGCCATCGACTCCGTGCGGGAGTTCTTCGGGTCCCCGCGGGCGGCACCAGTGGCGTTTCCGATCCCGAGACCCCGCGCTCGCCAGACCGCAACTCGATGCCGCCTGACATCGGAGCGGAGGATCATCGGAGCTCGAATGCTATGGGAAGGGAGGAGGGGGGGCGGGCGCGGCTCGTGGGAGGTCTGCGTCTCCTTGCCTCTTCCTCTGCACGGCCTCTCGCTCGTTCGAGCATTCATGGAGTGTTTTGCCGATGGTTGGTGCGCCCAGGGATGTTCAGAGGCTACGGTGCGAACCCAGCGGGTGGACTGTCGCATTAGTCAACGAGGAGGCGCTTGCTTATCTCAGCTAAGCGCTCCTCCTTTTATCGAGCATGAACAAATGGCACCCTTGCGGCAGAATACCCTAAATAGCTGTACACAGTTACGGTGGAGGGCCACGATGTGGGGATCAGAACAGGGCTAGGTATGGGAGTAGGGATCGGGATCACGACACCTCCTGCCCACAGGGCACAAGCCGTCTCGCTCACTCCCAACCCCCTCCCAACACAGAAGCAGCACCCGAGTATCCTTGTCAAGGACAACTGCAAAGTGATCGCGGGGCGCCCGTGCATGCTCCAGATTTGGAGGCAAAGCGTTTTCGCATTACTTACCGACTAAAATACTTATATCTTCATTTTGGTGGTTGTCGGCGCAAGCTCCGTAGAATCAGCCGTGTCCGCAAGGACGCCCCAATTTGCGTAGCAAGCGTGACTGCATGGGGATGACGAGATGAACTCTTGAAGCCATTCTCTTGCAGGGGATTGTTAGGCCTGCACCTTGCCTTGCCCTCGTCCGCAGGTTCTTTTGTGTCTGTTCCATCCTGTGTCGTTGGGTCCTCGTTTTGAAACAAAAAAAGAACAGCGCCCCGCGTTCCTTCCTGTTCCTCCGCCCCCCTCCTCCCATCACAATCGTCATCATCATCGTCATCACCATCATCATCATCATCATCATCAACATCATCGTCATGATCATCATCACCAACAGCATTCATCATCACTACAATCTTACAATCGTTATTGTCATCGTCATGATCGTCATTGTCAGCAACATCACCATCACCGACACCATCCTCATTGCCATTATCATCAACAGCAACATCACCGCCGTCAGCGCGATCATCATTATTACCATTGTCGTTAGCATAGCTGTCATCATCGTCATCATCATCAAATGCATCATTACCATCACCGCCATCATCACCATAGACTGTGGCACAACCTTCACATCGTCATCATCATCATCATCATCATCATCATCATCATCATCATCATCATCATCATCATCATCATCATCATCATCATCATCATCATCATCATCATCATCATCGCCAGCAGCTTCGTCACCAGTGGCAGGGCCCGCATGCTTCTCCCCCGCTCTTCATGGGCACACCACTCATAAGTTTTGTGGCCCCACAGGGAGCTCCACCGAAGGCGATATTGACAACTGCGGATCTCACAACTGCATGTGGTTGGGTCCTTCGCCCGGCTATTTGTTTTTGGCTGGCGTTCTTGTGTACTATTCTAGCCGGCTGGTCAGAAATATGTGTTTTTGTTTAGTCGACTAGTGTCGATTAGTCCTTCATGGCGCGCGCGCCTCTTTGCAGTGCGAACAGGACTCTACGTCAATCGCGTTCTTCGCTTTATCCCAACCATCCTGTGGTTTTGGGTCCTCGTTTTGAAGAAACGGTTCCCGCGTCTCCTCCTCCCGCTGCCCCCCTCCCAGTGGGGGTACCACATGCGCCCGCCAAACCCAGTACAGCGCTTCGTGGCCCCATAGGGAGCTCCACGTAAGGCCCCAGTGGGGGTACCACATGCGTCCGCCACACCCAGTACAGCGTTTCGTGGCCCGATGGGGAGCTCCACGTAGGGCCCCAGTGGGGGTACCACATGCGTCCGCCACATCCAGTACAGCGCTTCGTGGCCCCATAGGGAGCTCCACGTAAGGCCCCCGTGGGGGTACCACATCCGTCCGCCAAACCCAGTACAGCGCTTCGTGGCCCCATAGGGAGCTCCACGTAAGGCCCCCGTGGGGGTACCACATGCGTCCGCCAAACCAAATATAGCGTTTCGTGGCCACCCGCCCAAGGCCCCAGTGGGGGTGACCACGTGCGTCCGCCACACCCAGTACAGCGTTTCGTGGCCCCATAGGGAGCTCCACCGAAGGCCCCAGTGGGGGTGGCGACATGCGTCCACCACACCCAGTACAGCGCTTCGTGGCCTCATAGGGAGCTCCACATAAGGCCCCAGTGGGGGCGGCCACATGCATCCGCCACACCCAGTACAGCGCTTCGTGGCCAGTGGGACCGTCCGCATGCGTCCCGCACACCCAATTTGGCATTCTCACCCATCCAGTACAGCGTTTCGTGGCCCCATAGGGGGCTCCACCGAAGCCCCGAGTGGGACCGTCCGCATGTGTCCCGCACACCCACTTTGGCATTTTCACATACCCAGTACAGTGTTTCGTGGCACCAATCGGGAGCTCCACCGAAGCCCCCAGTGGGACCGTCCGCATGCGTACCAGAGGCCCAATTTGCCATTTTCACCAACCCAGTACAGCGTTTCGTGGCCCCATAGGAAGCTCCACCGAAACTCCCAGTTGGACCGTCCGCATGCGTCCTGGAAGCCCGTTTTGGTATTTCAACCAACCCAGTACAACCGGGAGCTCCACCGAAGCCCGCAGTGGACCGCCCGCATGCGTCCTGGAAATCCAATTTGGCATTTTCACCCACCCAGTACAGCGCTTCGTGGCCACATAGGGAGCTCCACCGAAACCCCTAGTGGGACCGTGTGCATGCGTCCTGGAGGCCCGATTTGGCATTTTCACCCACCCAGTACAGCGCTTCGTGGCCCCACAGGGAGCTCCACCGAAGCCCCCTGTGGGACCGTCCGTATGCGTCCCACACACACACACACACACACACACACACACCCTTTTTCGGTATTTTCACCAACCCAGTACAGCGTTTCGTGGCCCCATAGGGAGCTCCACCGACGGCCCCGGTGCTACCGCCCGCATGCGTTCCCCCCTACCCAGTGCAGCGCTTCGTGGCCCCATAGGGAGCTTCACCGAAGAAGATATTCACAATTGCGGCACCCACAACTGCATATGGTTGGGTCCTTCGTCAGGATAATTTCGGCCACAGTGCCCAACATATAACAACTCAAAGTTATATACACATAGTTATATATATATATATACACACGTAACCAACCCTTTTTATACATGTGGCGATCATATCCAGGACCACTCAATGCTGACTGGCATGCCGAAGGACCCGCAGTGCGCAAGAAGAGCACCCAACAGTGATTTCAGAAGAGAGCCGCGAGAGGGGGAGCGGCAAATATACAACATGGAAGCACAGGATCGTTGAAATAAACGCGCCCAAAAAGTGAATACAAAAGGGCGCGGCGGCGAGGGCTAAAACAGAACATCAGTTTAACTCAGCATCGCGTGTGACGTACCTCTGCTGGGCCTCCCAGGAGCCCACGAAAGTGGCGACAGTTGCGCAGATCGCAAGCCCCCCAGGGGGCGGCGAGATCCCAAGGTGGTCCGCGTATGACGTACCTCCGCTGGGCCTCCCAGGAGCCCACGAAAGTGGCGACAGTTGCGCAGATCGCAAGCCGGGGCGGCGAGGTACCGAGGTGGTCCGCGTGGGACGTACCTCCGCTGGGCCTCCCAGGAGTCCACGAACGTGGCGACAGTTGCGCAGATCGCAAGCCCCCCAGGGGGCGGCGAGATACCGAGGTGGTCCGCGTGGGACATGCCCCCGCTGGGCCTCCCAGGAGCCCACGAAAGTGGCGACAGTTGCGCAGATCGCAGCCGCCCAGGGGGCGGCTGGGTACCGTGGTGATCTGCGTATGACGTATTTCCGCTGGGCCTCCCAGGAGCCCACGAAAGTGGCGACAGTTGCGCAGATCGCAGGCCCCCCAGGGGGCGGCGAGGTACCGAGGTGGTCCGCGTGGGACGTACCTCTGCTGGGCATCCCAGGAGCCCACGAAAGTGGCGACAGTTGCGCAGATCGCAGCCCCCCAGGGGCGGCGAGGTACCGTGGTGAACCGCGTATGACGTACCCCCGTTGGGCCTCCCAGGACATGAGCCCACGAAAGTGGCGACAGTTGCGCAGATCGCAAGCCGCCCAGGGGGCGGCTGGGTACCGTGGTGATCTGCGTATGACGTATTTCCGCTGGGCCTCCCAGGAGCCCACGAAAGTGGCGACAGTTGCGCAGATCGCAGGCCCCCCAGGGGGCGGCGAGGTACCGAGGTGGTCCGCGTGGGACGTACCTCTGCTGGGCATCCCAGGAGCCCACGAAAGTGGCGACAGTTGCCCCCCGAGCCCACGAAAGTGGCGACAGTTGCGCAGATCGCAGCCCCCCAGGGGGCGGCGAGGGTGATCCGCGTATGACGTACCCCGCTGGGCCTCCCAGGAGCCCACGAAAGTGGCGACAGTTGCGCAGATCGCAGCCCCCCAGGGGCGGCGAGGTACCGTGGTGGAACCGCGTATGACGTACCCCGTTGGGCCTCCCAGGAGCCCACGAAGTGTCGACAGTTGCGCAGATCGCAGGCCCCCCAGGGGGCGGCGAGGTGCCGAGGTGGTCCGCGTGGGACGTACCTCCGTTGGGCCTCCCAGGAGCCCACGAAAGTGGCGACAGTTGCGCAGATCGCAGCCCCACAGGGGGCGGCTGGGTACCGTGGTGATCTGCGTATGACGTATTTCCGCTGGGCCTCCCAGGAGCCCACGAAAGTGGCGACAGTTGCGCAGATCGCAGCCCCTCAGGGGGCAGCGAGATACCGAGGTGGTCCGCGTGGGACGTGCCCCCGCTGGGCCTCCCAGGAGCCCACGAAAGTGGCGACAGTTGCGCAGATCGCAGGCCCCCCAGGGGGCGGCGAGGTACCGTGGTGACCAGTGATCCGCGTATGACGTACCTCCGCTGGGCCCTCCAGGAGCCCACGAAAGTGGCGACAGTTGCGCAGATCGCAAGCCCCCCCGGGGGCGGCGAGTTACCGAGGTGGTCCGCGTGGGACGTACCTCCGCTGGGCCTCCCAGGAACCCACGAAAGTGGCGACAGTTGCGCAGGTCGCAGGCCCCAGGGGCGGCGAGGTACCGTGGTGATCCGCGTATGGCGTATTTTCGCTGGGCCTCCCAGGAGCCCACGAAAGTGGCGATAGTTGCGCAGATCGCAGGCCCCCCAGGGGGCGGCGAGGTGCCGAGGTGGTCCGCGTGGGACGTACCTCCGCTGGGCATCCCAGGAGCCCACGAACGTGGCGACAGTTGCGCAGATCGCAGCCCCCAGGGGCGGCGAGGTACCCTGGTGATCCGCGTATGACGTGCTTCCGCTGGGCCTCCCAAGAGCCCACGAAAGTGGCGACAGTTGCGCTGATCGCAGACGGCACGAGAGAAGAGGAGACGGGAACACAGGAAACAGGAGAAAGGAGGAGGGGAGGAGAGGGGAGGTGGGAGAAGCAGAGTGGAGACCACACTGCTATATTCAAAACGAGAGCCCAACACAGGAGGGATGGGAAAAAACATCGGGGGGGCATAATGTAATTTGACAGGGACTGTTGGCGTGCGCGCAGCAAACAATATGAGAGCACCCCCGCCGTCCCTGACAACAACCAATGCGAAGTGGTCGCGGGGTGCTCGCGCATGCTCCAGATTTGGGCGCAAAGTGCATTTCATTGTTTTTCCCAACCATCCTGTGGTGTTGGGTCTTCGTTTTGAAAAGACATCGCCCCGCGTCTCCTTCCTCCCGCTGCCCACTCCTCCCCCTCCTCCTTTCTCCCAGCGTTTCACCCACCCTGTACAGCGATTCGTGGCCCCATAGGGAGCTCCACCTGCGGCCCCAGTGGAGGCGGCAACATGCGTCCGCCACACCCAGTACAGCGCGCAGTGGCCCCATAGGGAGCTCCACAGAAGGCCTCGGTGGGGTGGCCACATGCGTCCGCCACACCCAGTACAGCGCTTCGTGGCCCCACAGGGAGCTCCACCTGCGGCCCCAGTGGGGGCGGCCACATGCGTCCGCCACACCCAGTACAGCGTGTCGTGGCCCCATAGGGAGCTCCACGTGCGCCCCCAGTGTGGGTGGCCACATGCGTCCGCCATACCCAGTACAGCGTTTCGTGGCCCCACAGGGAGCTCCACCCAAGGCTCCAATAGGGGTGGCCACATGCGTCCGCCACCAGTACAGCGTGTCGTAGCCCCATAGGGAGCTCCACGTGCGCCCCCAGTGTGGGTGGGCACACGCGTCCGCCACACCCAGTACAGCGCTTCGTGGCCCCATAGGGAGCTCCACGTAAGGCCCCAGTGAGAGTGGCCACATGCGTCCGCTACACCCAGTGCACCGTTTCGTGGCCCCATAGGGAGCTCCACCGAAAGGCCCCAGTGGCACCGCCCGCATGCGTCGTCCACCACCCAGTATTACATTTCGCGGCCCCATTGATTGGTAGCTCCACCAAGCCCCAGTGGCACCGCCCGCATGCGTCCCCCCCACCCAGAGCAATATGAGGGCCCCCCCACCGTTCCTGACAAAAACAGCTGCGAAGCAGTAGCGGGGCGCCCGCGCATGCTCCAGATTCGGAGGCACAGTGTATTTGCATTGTTTGTTGAGAGGGATAGTTGGTCTGTGCGCAGCGCCCCCCCCCGCCCAGCCGTCAGAATCAAAAACCGATGCGAAGTGGTCGCGAGGCGCCCGTGTATGCTCGAGAGTCGGAGGCAAAGTGCATCTTGCATGGCTTTTGACAGGGATGGTGAGGGAGCGGGCATGGATTCGGGTTGGCCGTCGGTCGTGTGAGGGAGGGGGTCCTGTAATAGAAAACAGCGATCTGGGGCTAGGGCTATCAGGGGATGGGCACACAGGAATAGGGACCGGGATAGGGGATAGGGATGTGGACACAGGGGTAGGGACAGGGACAGGGATGGGGATGTAGGTGTGGGGCCAGGGACAATGCTGGACACAGGGATGGAGAGGCAGGGGGACGGGGATGGGGACGGGGACGGCACCCGGGCGGCCACGGACAGGCAGCGGGAGGCCCTCGGAGGCCACGGCAAGGCCACGGGAGAGCACGGAGGACAAGCGGCAGACGGCGGGAGGCCGCGCCGCCCCACCGAGAATCCGGAGCCGGCAGGCCGCCTGCCGTGTTGTTTTTTTTTTTTTTTTTTTTTTTTTTTTTTTTTTTTTTTTTGTTTTTTTTTTTTGTTTTTTTTTTTATATTAATTATCGAGAACACCGCGGTGCATAATTCTGCACGGCGAGGTGCGGAGGGACGACCAAGCGCGCTCTGGGCTGACAGGGTACCCGAACCCCTCTTGAAGGATGAGGCGGCCACAGCCTCCGAGTTGGAGGTGCTGCGGGCGTGGCGCCGTCGGAGGTCCGCGCGGATCTCCCCTCCAGCGGCGCTGGCCGTGCCGCTCCCGGCGCGCCTCGCACGTCAGGGAGGGGGGGAAAGGGACCCCGCGGCCCAGCGTCGATCCGAGACATCTGGCCAGGCCTCCGAGAGTTTGGTGCTTACGGCCGGGCCGAGGTAAAAAAAGGTCGAGGCCGCCCCGGGGAGGGTGCCCTGGTGTTCTCCGTGTCTGTCGGCTGCTCCTGGGCAGCCTCGGGGAGGGTGCCCCGGGCTGTCCTCTCCGTGTTGGCCGGCGGAGGGCCTCGTGCGTGCTCCCGGGGGGCGCTCTCCTGGCCCGGGTCCGACTGCACGTCGCCTCCTCTGCTGCGCCTCCTCGCCCTCTGACCTCCGACGTCGTGCCCCGAGCCCTCCCGGGGCTCTCGGCCTCCGCCCCGCGGGGCCGGCGCTTCGCCGCCGCCCGCCCGCGGGCTTGCGTCGCAGGGCCCGAGGCGGGCACGCCCGGAGAGAGGCCGAGCGCGGGCCGAGACGGAGGCAGAGCCGCCCCCCGCGGCTCCTGCGCGGTCTTGCGGAGGGCTGTGGGTGGGCGTCGAGGATCGGTGGTTCAAATCACCACCCACCAAACCACCCCAACCCAACCCGAAGGCTCAAATTTGCCCTCGATTTCTAATGGGGGGGGGGGTCGGGAAACATCGGAAAAGCACATGTGGAACCCTTGCCCCCCCCAACCCGAAATTCGGATCTTCGGGTTGGGTTGGGGTGGTCTGGTAGGTAGTCATCAAAGATGGGGTCCTGAGGAGTGGGTTCCCCAGGACGAGGTGCCGCCAGCAGTGTAGATTCAGCCTCTGATCCCCTCCTATCCTCAGGGCCCCCTCTCTCAGGGCCCCATCTTCGAACCACCGAGAGAAGAGGGGGGTGATGATCAGGGGTGCCTGGATCTCATGGGCTGGGCCACGAGATCGCCCAGGTGTCACGGCCCCCTCTCCTCCTTGCTCTTCTTCGTTTTATGCCCCTCTTCTGTCCGTACGCCTCGAGGCCCCCCTTCGCTCGCACACACGCCTCGGGGCGGGACGCGCCGACCATTTTTCGTGGCCCTCGCCACTCTTCGGCGCACCGGGGTCTGGAGCCTCCGCTGGGGGTGCCCGGGGCCCTCCTCCACTCTCCACGCCCTCGGCCCCGCCACCTCGCACGACCAGTGGAGGCGCTCCGGCTGGGACCTCGGGGCGGATCCGGCCGTGGCGACGGGGGCGCGACCGGAGGGGGGGTTCGCCAAGGACGAAAGATGTCCAAGTTCGTGGGCGCCCTAAGAGGCGGGAGGCGTTCCGACCAGGACCTCGGGGCGGATCTGGCCATGGCGACGACGGTGCGGCAAGGGGGTGCTCAGAATGGAGACAGGATGTCAATCTTTTTCGTTGGCGCCCGAGAGGGGGGAGGACCAGTGGTGTGGATATGATGGCCATGGCAATGATGTCTCCACGACGTCATACCCCCCCTCTTCTTTCAGTGCGTTCCCTGGCCCCCCCACGTTCGCGCAGATGCCTCGGGCCACAATACGCTAACCCACCTCTGGTTGGCCCCGCCTTCTTTGGCGCACCCGACAAATCCTCGGTCTTCGGTCCTTCCTCTTTCTCCTCCTACTCCGCCTCCTCCTCCTCGAGTCCCATGGTTGTATTACTCGTTCCGCTTTCTAGTTTAGACGTGTTTCTTGATGTTTCAGTGTCGGCGTGCCCTCGAGCAACAATGGCACCTACACGTTCTCATGATAGGTACTAAGATGTTGATATGTGCGTTCAGTCTGATAAACACATGCTTGAGCATCATGCTTGCATTACTGAGATGAATGAACAAATCCTCGAATCCCGAAGGTACGCAGCCCCGTCCAGTGATCTGACGCAGAAGCCCATGGTCATGGAACCGTGTACGCGGGAGGCACTGGTGACCCAGCTTGCCAAGGATGCCCGTGCTCCAGCTTTGTCCCCGATCTCGCTGCGATCTCTGGAGGTGAAGCCACAAGCAGGAGTCCAAACTTCTGGCAGGTCGAGTCTGTCTCAACCCGGGCATTTTTCGTTATCGCGTCCTCCAGGTGCCTTTTGTCAAGGGCAGAAAAAACGCCCCTACCCTGGTTTGCGAGGCGCTGTGCGCTGAAACTCCTGTGCGCTGACAGGGTAAACCCTGCGTGATGTGCCGCGTCCTAGCGGCGTTAGGCTTTGGGGGTTCCCAGGAGGTTTGCAGACCACACACTTGTAACCCAGGGTAGGACGATCAGACGTCGACCGGCTTCGGGGACCAAGAATTGCCCGCCGGGGCGGGGTCGAGACCTCTGGGGACCTCGGGTGGGCAAAAGAGCCCACCAGAAGTTGGGGAAACCCTCCGATGCAGGCGCTGTTCGGCGGCGGGCGAGGGGGGGAAAGTGAGAAGGAGAAGGCCTTCTCAGAAGGGTCGGAAGTTCCCCGGCCTGAGAAGTTTTCTAAGCCTCCCTCGAGGAGAGGAAAAACTTCTCAGAGTGCGCGAGGGCTTCTGAGAAGTTCCGCCGCCTTCTGAGAAGGCTTTATCCTTCTCGCTTCCCCCCCTCGCTCGCCGCCGAGTTGTGGAGAATTGCGACCGGCGTTCTCGCCCTGGTTCGGGCCCTTGGGCCACGATGAATCGGTCCAGCTCGACAAAAGTCCCGCACAGAGACAGAAGTGGGGTCGGCAGGTTTTTGGTCGTCGGGGGTCTTCTTTCACGATGTGCGCTTCATGACGTCGGACCTGAGGGGATTCGAGAAGGGCCGAGACAAGGAGGAAGAGTGACGATGATGTTGATGATGCTGATGATGAGGATGAGGAGGAGGAGGAGGAGGAGGAGGATGATGATGATGATGATGATGATGGTAGTGATGATGATGATGATGATGATGATGATGATGATGATGATGATGATGATGATGATGATGATGATGATGATGATGACGATGGTGGTGATGATGGCGATGGCGGAGACGATGACGATGACGATGACGATGATGACGATTATGATGGTGATGATGATGACGATGATGATGGTGGCGATGATACATAGGATGATGATGATGATCATGATGATGATGGTGATGATGATGATGGTGATGATGATGATGCTGATGATGATGCTGATGATGATGTTGATGCTGCTGCTGCTGCTGATGATGATGATGATGATGATGATGATGATGATGGTGATGGTAATGGTGATGGTGATCGTCATGATGATGATGATGATGATGATGATGATGATGATGATGATGATGATGATGATGATGAGGAGGAGGAGGAGGAGGAGGAGGAGGAGGAGGAGGAGAAGAAGGAGGTGGTCCGTACTGCACGTTCGCGCCGTGTCGACGCGGCGGCGACCTCGGCACAGGCGCTCAAGGGTGAACGTCGCCACTGGCCCGACATTGGCCGACGTCGCGGGATCCGCGCCGTCCGAAAGCCGCGGTCGTCCAAGGTTGAACGATCCGTACGGTGTCCGACGCGCGCGCAAGTCGTCACGACGCCGGCCCTGCGCCCTCGCCGCCCCTCCTGAGGCGGCCCGGGCCGCGGCACAGGCCCCCCCGTCTGCCCACGGGCCGGCCAGCCGACGGCGGGCCGCTTCTCAGAGGAGCACCTGGGGAGACGGGAACCCTCCTTGTTTCGGCTACACGTAGGAGTGACCTTTCGCCAGAGGGCCCTTTGGTGCGGGCACACGGTTGGAAGGTTTCTCCGAAGGGCTTAGGCGGTCCGTCCTCCTCCTCCTCCTCCTCCTCCTCCTCCTCCTCCTCCTCCTCCTCCTCCTCCTCCTCCTCCCCCCCTCCTCCTCCTCCTCCTCCTCCTCCCTCCTCCTCCTCCTCCCTCCCTCCTCCTCCTCCTCCTCCTCCTCCATCTCCATCTCCTCCTCCTCCTCTTCTCCTCCTCCTCCTCCCCTCCTCCTCCCCCCCTCCCCCCATCTCCATCTCCATCTCCATCTCCTCCTCCTCCCTCCTCCTCCTCCTCCTCCTCCTCCTCCTCCTCCTCCTCCTCCTCCTCGGGTCGCCGACGGCCCCGGTGGAAACCGTGCAGGGTCTCCCGATCGCTGCATGCGATGCGGCAGCCACGCCTTGCACGCTGGGGCGTGGCCTCCCCGCGCCCCCTCCCGAACGCCGCGCACCAAAGGTCCCCCTTGCCTGGGGTTGATGGTCCTGTTTTGCACCACCACCACCACCACCATAAGTTGGAGGAAGAGGAGGAGGAGGAGGAGGAGGAGGAGGAGGAGGAGGAGGAGCGCCTCCCCCTCCCACTTATGGTGGTGGTGGTGGAAAACAAGCCCACCATGGGGTCACTCTTGCGTGTCGTCGTGTGTTGCCAGTTGCAAGCGTGTCGGTCAGGGCCACTTGTGTCAAACGGGCGAAGGCAGCTGGGCATTTCATGAGGCGAGCTGCCCGTCCTCTGCCGAGAGGGCGTGGGAGGAAAGGCTTTCATTCTGGGAGGAAGGGGGTCAACCTAAGCGGTGTATTTGGCGATTTCGTGGGCCGTTTTCGTTTCGATTTCCTTTTGCCGCAAAGGTGGATATCGAAGATGAGGCGAGGGAAAACGAAAACGACAAACATTGCTTAGGTCGATCCCCGATTTCATACGCCCGCCAGCGGCTCCGTCCGAAGAGGTATCGCGCGCTCGGGCGCCCCTGCGCCGCGGGCCTCGGGGCCGGCCGGGCGGGCGCCCGCCGATCCGGGCGACCAGGGGCCGAGGCGGGGGTGCGCCCGGAGATCCACTCGATGAGGCGAGCGGCGTTAGACTGCGGAGAGCAAAGCCAGCGCAGTGGAGACCCATGCCAAGGAGCACCCTGTTCGCCTCCGGGGTGCCCTGGGCTTCTTGGGCTTCGATGGTTTTGCTGTATGGCAAGCGTGGCGTCCCCAGAACAAAAGTCAGCAGTCAAGAGGGGAAAAAACACAGACACAATTAACCGGCGATCCCCAGAAAAGATGGGAAAATATGGGAAGTGGGGGGGAAAACAAAAACCCAGAAAATATGGGAAACTATGGGGGATATGTTTATTTGTGTGTCTTTTTTGTGTGTCCCAGCTCCCCTTCAAACAGACGTCTCGGGGGTCTCAGACGCGGGTTCTTGCGGAAGGTTTCTTATGGTCGGGCCCCTACCGTGGCGGTGTCACGCCGGTCGAGCGAGCAGCACGGGCAGTCTGAGAGACGACGCACGTGTCGTTTGGAGCCGGCCTCCCTCCCGAAGGCTGGCGAGGTCGTCCCGCTGTTTTTGTTTTGGATGGGATGGGTTTCGGGACAGTATAGGGGAACGAACAATGGCATAAACATAATAACTCCGAGGTCCGCGCGGATTCCTCGGATCGGCGCTGGGGCCCCCTGGCGGCGCCTCCGGCGCCGCCCCTGGCGCGCGGAGCGCGCCAAGGAGGGGGGTCCAGCGCGGATCCAAGAAATCCGCGCGGACCTCCGAGTTTCTATGTTCCTGCCACGTCTCGTTCCTTCACGATACGCACCCCCCACGACCGCCGAGGACACTGCCTTCCTGTCGAAGCATGGAATCATGGACTACTCTATGGGCCTGCTCATCAAGCACCAGGAGGCGCCCCCCAGAGCCCTGCAGAGAGCACAGGCGAGCCTACTTGAGAGTCCCTGTAGGGAGCATCGACGTCATTCCCACCATCGTAGCCGTCATGAATGTGCCGTACGTGTCGGGACGCTCCGCATCAGCAGCGTATCGCAAGAACTTGCGGGCGCCCGCTCCGAGTCTCCCGTGACTCCGCCGAGGCCCTGCACACGTATTTTTCCCCCGACGCGCCAGTGAGGTCAAACTAGTGGTAAGATCTACCACGGGCAGTGGAAAGACATGTTTTTTTTTTGTGGGAGCATGGTAACAATTGAAGGTCTCAGCGTGAGGCGAACTTAGCCTTAAGTCGGGCCTGTCCCTTTACAGGAGGAATATTCAAAGATAGCCCACAAATAGTCAGGGGCCGATGTTTTGGCTATGCTTGACAATTTTGGAGCATTTGCGTTGTATTTTTTATTGTTTGTCCAAATCCCCCTGTAGGGGGACACGCCCGACTTAACCTTCGCCGACCGCAGGGCAGAAGAAGCCAGGCGGGCGCAGGGCGAAACAGGAGCAGCGTGTGTCCGGGACGCTGCGCACCAGCGGGATCGGCACACACACACACACCACACTCACAACACACTCACAACACACAACACACATACAGCACACAACACACAACACACAACACACACACACACACCACACACACACACACACAACAGACACACATTTTTTCACGTCGGCGGCTGGGCAGAGGTCGACTGCTCCGGCGGAATGGCACCAGGGCACACGCTATATGCAAATTAAAGCCGCAATGCATCGGAGGAGGAGGAGGCGGAGGCGGAGGAGGAGCCCCGGCGCGACGGGGGGAGAGGAAACCGGGCCACTCAGAGCTGCCGGCGGCGGCAGGGGGCAGCGCCCGGGGGGGAGCAGCGCAGGCACAGGCTGTACTGAATTGAAACACACACACACACACACACACGCACACACACAACACACACAGACAGCACGCACACACAGCACACACACACGCACACACACACACACACACCTTTCCTCCAGCAAGGTGACGGCGCCGTCGCGGGCGATAGTAACGGGCGCCAACTACCACGTACGTTATCATCAGGCATTGCAGGTGGGAGACAGCGCAGAGCGAGTCGGCGTGCAGCCAAAGCACCCAGCTTGGTGGATGGCGGCGCACACGCGTACGAAGGCACCGCATGCCAGCACGCCATGCAAGGCGTAGGAGCAAGAGGAGGATAGTGAGGAGGAGAAAAAGCCACATCTACCTGGTACGCCTGATTTGGGAGGGGGATGAGTGGGATGTCACAAATTATCACAGATACTGATGACTGACATGGCGATGGCTGGGGCAACCACGGCAACGAGCAGCGCTTTAGCACCTCGCAGCTCTCACCATTACTACCGCTGGTACACGTACCGCCGCATCCATCCATCTCAGGGCCGTCCGTCCTACCTCCCCGTACCTCGCCTCCCGCACGCGTCAGTACAGAGCCGACAGGTTTCAACCGCATTTCTGCCACTTTTCCGAACCACATGCAGATTTGCATTCGGAATTCGCCAACATTTAATGTTGCTGATCTGGTGGATGCCGAAAAGCAGCAACCATCAACCGTGGCATCTGGCACTCACATCAGTACTTTGCAGCTTTCTCACCGTGTCGCCTCTTCTGCCGACCCCACCGTCTCATATTCCTTCGCCTGTCTTTCCCCTACCCACTCCTGGGCAGCAAGCGCTCATCGCCTCTCACCTGCGGCAGCCAGCGCAAGCCAACCGCTCTCTTGAACGCGGCACGCTACGACGAGTGCCACGACTCATGCGTCAACAATGGTAGCTCTTGCAGTCCGCAACCTGGCATTGGCCAGGACTGCCTTTATCTTGTCCGCCACTCTAGCGTGGTCCCAGACCAGGCCATCCGCCTGCCACACTTTTGTGTACCATAGCGCGGTGGGTGGTTACGGCTTTTGTTAGAAGGGTGCAGAGGCATGCAACCAACGCTTGCCGCCCTGGCGTTGGCCAGGGTGGCCACTTCCCGCAGCACTGTAAGCAACCGAACCGCCCAACAACATCTAGTGCTTGTGCCAGTGCAGCACCCCCGTCATTATCTGTTTCAACTTGGCTTTTGCAATTTTAACGCAGCCACCCGCATTATCCAACCGTGGGTGGGGGTGGGTTGTGTCTGGCCGGGGGGGGACGCAACTACAGTAAGCGCGGCCGCCGCAAGGGCGGGATGCACCGCCCCTCCCCCCGCTCTTACTGGAAGCCCCCCCGACGACCCCGCAGCCCATCCCTGAGGACCCGTCGGTCACCTCGGTGGTCGGGATCGGTGCAGTGGGGTGCCCCACTGGCTGGGGGGAGGCTCCTGCAACCCCCCGTCGGGGCGAGTGTGGCCATGTCTACAGTGCCGTTTTAATACATGCTCCGCGTGCGGACCATGTATTAAAAATGCAGGGATTTAGTACTACAAACAACGATGAGTTCATGCATACATTTAGTCATAAATTAGTCAGTCATGTATTAAACATCCCATGTTTTTTAACAACAAATAACCGATGTATTAAAAACAGCCCTGTACACACTCCAAGGCCGCCCTGGGCGTGCGTGGCCGCGGCCGCCCGCCCGCCCAACGCCGCGCCGCTTTATTTCTTCACGCCCCCACGCCGCTGCACACCGCGCGCCCTGCTGTCCGCACCACATCCCCCCTTTGCTTCTCAGGAGCCCTCCTCTCCCTCCTCCTCCTCCTCCTCCTCCTCCTCCTCCTCCTCCTCCGTAGCCATTTTGGCTCAAGTCCGTAGCGGTTGTGCTCAGACTTGGCTTTTTGGCGTGGGGGAGGGACGGCCCCCGACTGCTCAGAGCCTCCCCCTCAGCCTGCCCAGGCTGGAGACTCTTCTCTTTCACGTACACACATTTCCACTCCGAGGTGTGCAGCCTCGAATGACCAAACCGCATGCCCCATGTGTTCTTTCTCGTTCTGCTGCTGCCGACGATTGGAAGCTGGCCGCGGCAAAGCCTGAGTTCCTCAAGTGTTGGTCATGCGGATGTGGTAAGAACAAGCGGACTGCGAACAATTGCTTCCAGTGCGGTGCCTCCCTCCACGCCCGAGAGCCCTGGGTCGAGCAGCCTGTGGTCCCCGCCGAGTCTCGGGCAGCTCCGAAGCCAGGGCGCCGGCGCAACGGACGGGCGGCAGCTGATGGCACGACGGGGGGCAAGGGAGCTCCCAAGTGGGGCTGGGCCGAGGGAGGCAAGGGTCTGCAAGGAAAGGCGCGCCAACCACTTCGCTCGGGCCCCCAGTTTGCCAATGGCTCAGACCCCATGGCTTTCAATGTCAAGCAGATGCAGCGGGAGGAGGTCCTGCAACTTGCGGCCCTGGCTGAGAAGCAGGGCCTCGCGATGGTTTCCAGTCAATGCAAGCTCCGCCCCATGGATCTGGCTCGTCAGGCTGCTGCTCCTGTTGCGCTCCCGCCCGAGAAGCAGCTGTACAAGTTGGTTGAAGAGAGAGACGCCCATGCCAAGCGTATGGAGAAAGAACTCGACCTGGTCGACAAGTGGGAGAAGAGCATGGCTCGGCAGAGGCAGAAGATCCAAGAACTCAGCGATGAGCTGGACTCCTACGACGCTCAAATCGCGGGCCTCAAACTCAGGCTCACCGAGCACTCCCAGCAGGCAGCCGCCGCCGCGGCGGCCGAGTCTGCTGGTGCGCGCTTGGACTCGCTCCTCGACGGCTCTTTCAGGATCGACTGTGGGAACCTGTTCGAGGTGGGTGACGAGGAGCATGAGCTGTCAGACGCGGACGAGCAGGAGCTCCAGCAGCGCAAGCAGCAGCTGGAGACGCTCATCGCCGACAATGCATAATCGCTCTTCGCCCAGGCAAAGGAGCACTTCGAGAAACTGTTGGAAGGTCTGCAGGATCCCGACAGGTGCCCGGGCCTCTTTGCCGCCCTTGCCCAGGAGGTAGGTACCGGGCTAGCCAGTGATGCGTCCCAGGCCAGGCAGGCTTGGCAAGAATTCGCTCAGTCTTCAGTGCTCAGGGGCGGGCGCATCGCTCACAAGTTCAGCAAGGGCCCCAAGCCTGCGCCTGAGCCCGTCCTTGGGCCCGCGGAAGAGGGGGGGATTCCCCTGGCGGGCCACGCGGCCCTCGGCAGGCTTTTGGACGAGTGGGCCCCGATTTGGACCCAGGCCTCGAGGGCCAGTGAGGAGCACCCGTCGTCCTGGGAGGTCTCAAGCTTTCTAGAGCCGATCTCGCCCGATGATTTACGCTCCGCGTGCAAGCGCTTCGCCAAAGGCTCGGCCTCGGGGTGGGACGGCTTCCACCCGAGGCTGGTGCTTCAACTGCCCCCTGAAGCGGTGCAGCGATTTGCCGACCTTTTGAATGCATGGGAACGAGATCCCAGGGTGTCGACACTCTGGATGATCCTGATCATTTTTCTCGACAAGCCCACAGGCGGTGTGAGCCCGATCGGATTGCTCCCTTTGCTCGCCCGGGTCTGGTCCAAGGTCCGACAGAGGGTGTGTAGCGCCTGGGAGAGGGAGAACACTTCGGACCTTTTCTGGGGCCAGTCCAGGGCCACCTCTTGTGACAAGAGCGCGTGGCTCCACAACGCTCTTCCGGCGTTCGCCAGGTTGCGGCACCTGGCGTCGGGCTCGGCCTTTTTGGATTTTAAGAAGTTGTATGAAAACATCTCTCACCAAGAACTCAGGTCCGCGGCGGCCCACGCGGGCATCCCCGACAGCCTCTTGAGGGGCTTGTGCTGCGTTTATCGGGCCGAGAGAAGGGCCGTTTTCCAGGAGGTCACGGGCAAACCTCTGGAACCGAACGGGACGGTTGTAGCAGGGTGCTCTTGCGCGACCTCCATGGCCAAAGTGTTGCTTCTGGTTGTGCTGAAGCGGGCGCACCTAGAGGCTCCGATAGTCAAGATTAAGAATGTTGTAGACGACGTGTCTTTCCATGCTGTTGGGGGCGAGGCCACGGTGTCAGGGCAGGTAGCCAGGGCCTTCAACATTGTTGCTGCCGA